GATGCATAAGAAATGGTCATATTCATGTTTTTCTCTGTGAAAAGTATATTTTTGACCTGGCGCTAAACAAACCGCTGCTTGCTGTTCATTTTACTTAATCTTCGATGTTGTATGATTATACTTGAAAAAATGGCTCAAAAAACGTATACATGTGCACTGTGCATATGATAGCCACGTTTAGTTGCTGACCAGTACTAATATTTTGGCCCCTCTATGCTGTTCAAAGTAGGTTTATAGTGAAGACTGTTAAATGTTGTTAGTCGTTCGTATCAGTCGATGGTTTCAGAGTCAGGAAGCTATTGGGAAGCCATCATTCTTAGGCTCGTAAAATTGATAAAACTTGCTTTATGTTTTACCTTAAGGACCTTTTATTTGCGTTGAAAATGGACATAGAACAAGTGTCAGTTTAGAGCTGCGATGAATGCTAATCATCCGGTTTCTATTCGTCTTTTTTTCGCTGAGGCAGTCAGCGCTTGTGGTGGATATCGGTTTAAAATTTAATATCTCAACAGAAGCTGTTCATCCCTGTGGACAAACCCTAGAAAATAAGGTAAATTTTGGTAAACATTTGTACTCCTTTGAATGATGAATTGTTTCGGGTTTTCGAATATTCATGGTGATTCTGTTGAATGCCATGATCTTTGTGCTGATAATTAAAAATTACATAGGGAACCGCTGAATTTGAGCTGGATTCTTTGTTGAGTTTAACAGGCCATATTTTTTCACAAACTGCAGCAAGCCATATTAATAATTGGATTAAGGTTAGTTGATAGCAACACCGTCAGGTTCATTGTCTAGTTTCGAGTGAGTTCATTCATATCCGTTCGCCACAGTGAAGTGGGGTCTGGATCTTTGTGGTTTTCTGAACAATTTCTATTTAAAACACGTCGAGTTGTCGCTCTGCTTAATTGAACGTGAGTATAAATGACTCAGTTTATTACTTTTCGCTGAAATCACTGCAATTCATTTTTTGTGTAATCTACGGTGATTCAAGCAAAAGTGACTTTACTGTTGTGATGGACCGTCAGTAATTTTCAGAAGTAATTTGTTGTACATGTTTATCCTATAAAACGCTACCAATTCTGCTTTTCAACGACGAAAATCAAACCTACTGAATCTTTATATCTGAAAAGTATACTGCTACGAAGGAGCATATTGAGCCTTTTGTTTAGCGCTAATAAAAACATCAATGCTTAGCAGTACATGTTGGGTATTTCTCCTTTGGTGATACTCCATTAAGCAGTTTACGTGTAGTCGCTTCTTCAGATCACCAAAGCATTGTATAAGTACTTCTCCACCAGCATGTTTGAACTGCATATCGAAATGGCAGTGACTTTGTTCAAGCGTCTATTTCGCAGTTCCAATGAAGACACGTGTCTGAAAATCGATGGCACAAAGACGCAACTACTAACGACTGAATATTCACTAATCTCCAATAAAGGCCACTACCCTTAAACAGACGGTATAAGAAATTATGTTACAACGTCTGTTTCGAAAATGAACCTACGACAAAGACCAGTTATCATTCGCTACGGCACAGCATATTGCTGCAGGATGTGCGGTAAAATTCGACTCTACAGGTCAGCTGCCAGTTTAACCTCGCAACGTCAATATAATGATTAGCTTACGGTAATGAAGTGCGTTTACGTCTTCCGCTAAACCGATGCATGGCATGGCGAGAAGCTCATCAGAAAAAAAGTTTCGTCATCAAAGAATTACTTCCCCGATGAATCCACCACGTACGTCAAATTGAATCAGCAAACCAACTACGTTGGGCATCAAGGCGATGAAAAGGTAGTTTGTAGGCATATTGTGTATATGTTTAGGTTCTTACGAATATTAGAAACATTCTGACGATGCAGACCAGTGCCGGCGTTTTTCATTTTCGAATCGGTAGCATCCCTTTATCAAGGTCGTGAATTCATAACCATCTGAGACGGCAACGACGTCCATCAGGTTGTGTGTATGTATGCATGTATGTATGTATGTATGTATGATCCATGGCTTGCAGCAAAGACCGCATGCTGCAATATGTGGACGTTCTGAACGTCTCGTTTGTACCTAACAATTCAGGATAACCGCTTCGAGCAGCTCCTTACCTCATGCCACTTTCCGCTAATCTGACAACCAGTTACATTTGCCTATCCCGCATAATGAGCAAAGCAGCAGGGTTTCAGCGAGGGTGGTTACAACTCCCTCTTCCACACTTCACCTTCACTTGCCTCAATGTACTCCGACAGACCGTCATGAGTGGGTCAGATCGCGTAGCCAAAATAACTGAACCTAGGTCCTTCGATTACCCTGTTGGGTAATCAGACATTTTCTTGAAGAATAAGGGAAATGAATAAAAAACCAAGAGGAAGAAACCGAACGCTTACCATCTGCAAGATCTGGGCATCATAGTACCAAATAAATGGACAACACAATGGCTAAATGACGACCACTGCGGCGAAACGGACGCTGTTGCAAATACCACTAACCTTCGTCGTGAGAAACGCCGCAGCGAAATTATGAGAACTAGCAGCAACCAGGGTGGTACAAAAAATTGGCGCGGGTTTTTTCTCGCTACCATCGTTGTTGGCTGTTGATACTCCGGAATATTTGAAACTCATTTCGCTGCCATCCCATGTATGAGTGATCGCAGCACTCATTGCCCGTAAACTACTAATGATTTTTGTGAATTATTTAAATGTATGTTAATTATTACTGCATGCATTAAAGGTCATTTTCAAATGAAATCTTATGCGAGATCGGTTTTGTGCCCGACAATTAATGCCAAATACTTGCACTTTTAGAAGTCAACGGTTCCGCATCACTCAGGTACAAGCT